TAAGAATCAAAACTTCATATTAATAAGAAATAATTAGAACTACAAGGGATGCAACAGTCATAATGACTAAGGCTGTATGTGTATAAAAGTCATTCATAAATACTACTAATTTTTTTATTTTTCTTACATCATTCTTATATATTTATCCACTTTTAATAAATAGGTGATATTTCTATTCCACTATGCCAGTGTTTGATCTACATTATTTTTCTCATTCTCATTCTTCTACTCATTTTCAATCACCCATTTTTCAATAAAATAATATTTTTCATCACATCAATAACTTTTCCTTCTTTTTTAACCACATATTCTCCATCACATCATTTCAAAAAAATGCATTCTTTCATTTTAATGACCAAACGGGCTTTCAAAACTAAAAATTGAAATATGAAGAGAACAGCCCCTTAATTTCTGTTTGGTAGAGATTTTTGAAAACACATTTTGTGAAAAGTGATTATTATGAAGAATGTGTGGTTAAAAAATAGGGAAAAGTTATGGTCCATGCGCATATTTATTTTATTAAAAAATGTATGATTGAAAATGAGTTTGGAGAAAAATGAGGGCCAAACGGAGCCTTAATTTCAAACAAAGAAAGGAGTTTTTAGGTAAAGGAAAAAAGATAACAATACAGTCCTTTACAAACATAAAGACCAACAAACAATAATATAAAAGCCTTTAATTCAATATTCACATGGTATCCATAAAAAAATTAAGCATTCACATAGTACCTCAACATTCCTCAGGTCAGCATAAGCATGAAATGCCACATGATATACAGTAAACTGCCTGGAAATGAACCCACCACGGCGATGAATATACTCAGCCGTAGGGAGGTTATACAATTCTTCTTCAGAGATACCCAGCATAATATTTTCAGCATTGTCTTTTGTTTGTTCAACTGAGGACCACCCTTTGGACTGCTCAACAAGCTCAAAAATCTTTTCCAGAAAGGAGAAGAACATAAGAAATACTATAAAGCTCTCTAATCAAGAAGTCAGATGTACTAAAAGTATCCAAGAATAAACTTCAAAAAAATCAAATAGAAGTACTTGGTGATTACTTTTGAAGCTGTATCATCTGGAAGAGGAATCTTGTTTTTGTGTGCAGTTATAATTCCAGCATAGCAGAAATTGTTCAAACCAAGACCAGCAGCAGTCATATCTCGAACTATAGCATATCTGCAATGTAAAAGGGGGTTAATGTAGCCATTAGGATGCATTTCGAGGGTGGACTGAATTAACGTGGTACTGATAGGCACAGTCACCAGTCGGCAGTCGCTGTTCATTAGAATATATAACTAAGGAGGGCGACAACAATTGAAAAAATCAAAAAGACTTCAAATGCTGCACAGCATGATTAGATAAATCTACAAGTAGTATTTTTGATGTGTATGATCAAGTACGTTGACCAAAATCAAGGTCTTAAGCTAAAACAACTGATTGGATGTCATTTCACTTGCAGAATCTTATCGTATGTTGTTTAAAACATCTTGATGAAGATATCACATCCCATCCATCAATTTCAATTGAAGTGTCTTTAAAAAAGTTCATTATGTTTTGGATGTTAAGAGGATAGCTGCTAGAAAAAGGGCCAAGCAAAATTATTGAACAATTAGCTTACACTCGATCTAATCTTCCATCAGCTGCACATGCATTAAGTAGACATATGTAGGTCTGTCCAGTAGGTTTCACCTCAGATCTCTTCATTTCTTCTAAAAGCTTCAATACAAACACAAAATGGATCTCAATAAAATTGAATTAAATTTTCCAAAACCATTTATAGCTTAAGCATAACACAAAAAAGTATTGCAAGGTGAAAATGAAATACCCGAATGGCCTGGTCAGAGTTCTTGCATTTTCCACAAGCTGAGATTAGGAAGTTGTATAAAGCAACCTATAAAAAATATGAAAATTCTTAATGGTCAATTAAAACATGCAGATTTCAAAACATGAACCTTGTCAAGCATTAATTGGATGGCACTGGCAAGTCAATGAGCTTTTTAAGAAAACATAATAACGTATTTTGGGGCATTTTCATCTCGTGATGTTAAGATCACTACCCCTCCACCGAATGGTCATAGGGATTACGCCACTAATTATGTAGATATAACTAAGCAGCGACCTTTTAAATTTTAAAATCAGTATTTTAATGTACCCCATATTAAATTTGCTCATTGCAATTCATGAATGGGAAAAATTTTTAACGAGGCAATGTTTAGCAGAAACTAAAATAAATTATTTTATTTTATCAATTATTTTAGTAACAATGTGAGTATTTTGATTATTTTGCCATAGATCATGATTCAGGCCTCAATATCGACTTTTTGTCCTATAAATAGTTTCATTCAGGACATTTATTTACTGGAATCATCAAGATAAAGAAACAGGGCAGCAGAATATTGGATGAAGATTAAGAAACAACATACATCAGGAGCCAACCCCATGGATTTCATTTCGTCCCGGAAAAAGAAAGCATCTTGCAATCGAGACCCTTTCATTGTCCCGACGATAAGCGAATGAAACGTATCCCTCTCTGGCTTCACTCCATCCAACATCATATCATCATACACATCCCTCAACAAATAAGGCCTAGTTTCCCATTCATAAACATACAATTATATCAAAAGTAATTCCACTTAAAATTAAAACTCTATTATTTGCTTATCCAAATAAGAAATTTAAAAACCATAGAACCTTCGCTGAGAAGTGAGAGAGCCGATAACAGTTTTATACTCGGCCTCATTGTTCGCGTAATTCCGCTTGGCGTACTCTTCTGTTGAGGAAGCAAAATGTCGACGCCCTATCGCTCGAATCACTAAACGATGGTGTCCTGTGAAGACGAATCCAAAAGTAAATACATTCATACACATACACACATATACATATATGCATTTATGGGGGTACCAGAGAGAGTTCGGAGGAGCCTCATGGTGGAATGAGATTAACGGCACTTGGACTCTGATTTTGGTTTTCGGTTGAGCTCTCGAAGAGGAACTGCGCATAAACCCTTGGCGATTTTGAGAAGATGCGCACGTGGCGTGTCTACACGAGTGAGGTACAGGAAATTTGTGCACTCTCGGGTGTGCACTTTGGGATTTTATTTTTCACCAAATTTTCACGGTCATGGAAGTTTGAAGTAAAATTGCGCTTATGGAAAAAAATAGGGTTGGACATGATCCGGTTCGATTCAATTCGATTTTGGAGAGAATTGAATCGAACCAAAATTTTCGAGTATTTAGTAAGTGGAACTGTCGGTTCAGTTCGGTTCTATTCGGTTTCCAAGTTTCGTACAATAATTAATTTTTTTATATTTACAACAATGCTACATTAATTCGACTATAACATGTTCAATATTAACTCTTAAAAAATTAGTATCTTTTGCACATTTCTTGGTTGAGTTCTTTATAGATATACGGTTAAAATCACAAAAAGAAGATAGCGAGTTCATAATAATAGAACGACAGAAACGATACTACGGTAGAATAAGAGATTTGGGTGAAATTTAGTTTAATTTGATTAAGTTGAGTTTGGATGAAAATTGAAAATAGTAAAATCATATTTTAGGTTTGAGCTAAATTAATTAGTTAGCAAATTCATGTAGAAAAAAATAAAATAATTTAACTTATTTAAGATAAAAAAAAATTAGGAAGATTAGGTTCTTATTCGATTCTTCGGTTCTAGGTCTAGAACCGATAACCAAACCGAACCCGTCGGCTCTTGATTTAGATACCCGTTGGGATATTTAATTTAAAAAGAACCGCTCGATTCGATTTGGTTCGGTTCTAGAGTTTTGTCCAGTCATAGAAAAAGGTTTACTTAGCCCTCAATGTTCTAAAATTTTATTTTCTCCAAATTTATTTTTAACTATATATTTTATAAGATTCTGATTTTTTATAAACTTTTCAATTACGCATTTCATCAACTTTTATCAAAATCTACTAAAAGTGTGATTTTTAATCAAATCAACAAGGGGTATATTAGTGAGTGAATTATATTTTTATTTATTGGTTTAAAATGAATATCGTCTTTTTGCTAAGCTTGAGAAATGATATACTACGAGTAAGCTTGGATATGACTAAGAGCATATTTAATGGTGGTGTACAGTTGAGTTTGAGTTGTCATTTAAAAAAGACTTTTACATTTCCATTTATACGCTTCTTAATGAAAAAAAGTTTATGCAAAAAAATGTAGTTTTCAGCAATGAGTCATGAATGTTGAGATTGGCATTTTAAACTTTTATGAACGAAAGTGGATTTCGTATTAACATTGTGGAGCAACTCCCTCCAAATGTTAAATGATACTACTAGTTTTTTTTTTTGGTTGTAGCTCTTGCTAATTTGTTCCTCCCTTAAATTTCATAATTTCGTCCACATGTAAATTACAAATATGTAAATTTCATTTTTCATGTTAAATTTTGTTTTTACATAAATTTTTTTGCTCACTAAATTTTTAAGTTAATCTATTTTTGGTGTGTCTATGTCTATGTGTACACTTCAAATTGCTTGAATTGAGCAAAAACTTCAAAATTGGACTATCCCAAAGGTAGACAAGAGTTCTATCTATGAGATAAGAAATTTTGATTTTACTCAAAGTTGTGTTATCAAAACTCTGGAGCAAATTATTCCAATCAAAAATCAAACTGTTTCTATCAATTTACTTTCAAAAGAAGCTATACTTGCCCATAGGAAGAAGTTTCAATATCTTCATGTTGGTCTTGTTCAAATAGATGTCAAACATTTGTTTAGACTTGGTCTAGACATTCTTGTTCTCATAACCTTGAGAGATAAAAGACTTTTAAGGTTTGAACATTCATTACTGTCCATGCTTGAGTCTAATCTTGAGAGTGATCCAATATTTTCAAATTGTTATCCAAATTTCTCAATCAGTTTTCAAGATAGAGCTATTCTTAATGCTCTTACTCTTTGAATTCAAACTAAGAAATTTGATGTTGATGATCGTTCAAAACCATTTTCTTTAATACACCAAGTATATTATAAGCTTTTGAACACTCGACTCAATATCCGTGCCCTCAAATCTTCTCCGAGAGATGAAAGTCTTTTAATTGAAGTCAATCCCCTTCATTCAAATGTTATGATTCCCAAAAGAATTCCATGAAATCTTCAAGAAAGAGGTTTAGAATGGAATTTTGAAAATGCACAAAATCCAATTCCAACTCATGTTCGAAGAAATCCTGAACAAATAATTTATTTTCCTAATAGTAACGTCAGAGTTATCTTTGATAAACCATCACCTTTAAGTACTTTTCAAAGATCTTATTCATCTAGATCTGATAATAGATCTAAGTCAAACTCTTTTCAATCTGTTAGATTCTCAACTTCCTCCTTAAAAAGAGTAGATTTAAATCCAATAATTTCAAAACCTTTTTATCAAAATGAAGAAATAAAGAATAAGAAGTAGAACCTCCTACTTTATCAGATATGGTTCCTCCTCAATCTGAGAGACTTGATCAGCAATGCAATGTTATTTCTTCTAAAATTAATAGAAAATATGAGTTTAAAACTGATGAAACTCCAGAAGTTCAAAAATTTAGACATCTTATCAAAAAATCTTTTTCAAAAGAACAAATTGAATAACTTGATCATCAGTGCAATATTATTTCTTCTAAAATTGATAGAAGAAATGAGTTCAAAACTTACCAAACTCCTGAAGTCAAAAAATTTAGACATCTTATCTAAAAATCTTTTTCAAAAGAACAAATTGAATCTACTAGGAAGAATTTGATAATTTTCTAGAAGATATTAGTTTTTTATGAATTGACTTATTTCAAAGTTTTCAAAAAAAAAAAAAAAATGCCCGACAAAGTCAAAACAAAAAATGTTCAAAACACTATTACTTCAAAGAAAGCCTGGAAAACTTCTTCTGGTGAAACTATTCAATCATCTCATCCTCCTTTGCAAGAGATTGTTGTTCCACATGGAACTACAAAAATACTTGCTTCTCCTTTCAAAAAGACTAAACGTCGCGATGATTCTTTTGTTAATGCAAAAGATATAAAAAATATTCAATCTCAGAACAATTATACTAATGTTGTTCTTCAATCTATGTGTTCTCAGCTTAATAGAATTGAAATCAATTTTGAATCTGAGCCTTCCGAATCTTCAAATATTGACAAAGGTAAAAAGAAGAAATCAGAAAAGTGTGTACCTTCTTTATGCCATTTTCAAGAAGTTGTTCCCAAAAAAATTGAGACAAAAGAAAGTGTTCTCAAAGAACTTGCTACTCAATTATCAAAATTATCCTCCTCTTAAAAAAAATATCAATACCATTGACGAAATAGAATCTCAGTTTGTTGAAGAAACTGATCTACAAGTCAATAGACTTCGTGGACAAAAAGTCCAATATTAAAAAATTCCTGCTTACTATCATCATAATTCTCCTCATGATTTACTCTTTGAAGAAAAAGATAAAAGGCAATTCAAATATGATGGAGATTCTATCATCGAATGGAATCTTAATGGATTATCTGAATATCAAATTATCAAATTTAACTCCTCTAGGAAAGAATTTGCACTAGGCTAAAATTCATTATGTCTGAAACCTCTGAATGAAGCACAATATATAGTTGAAGTCTTGGACTTGAAAACTTCTTGAATTGAGTTGAGGGAATCTTGAACAGTTGATCCATAATGTTTGATTGAAGAGCTTGTCTGCGACTTGTCTTTTCTTTTGTCTTCTTTTGAAATTATTGTCTTCTTTTGAAATTATTGTTCATTCTCGACTTTTTGAAATAATAACACCCTTTATTAAAGTAGCTTTAATAAAGTTGTTTGGCATCTTTTGACTGTCGGCAAGGCTGACAAGAATAATTTGTTTGCTGGCAAACACATTTGAAAAAACATTTCTCTTGATTTCTAAAGCCGATAATTTCTGAGGTCGTCAAGAAAGCTAGGTCTATATAGTCATTTTGATGGGAAATTTCTTTGTGTTTCTTCTTCAATTAAATCGTCAACATTATAACCAAAGCACATGTTTTTGTTACTTTGTTCATAATCTTTTGATTCTGAATAAGAGTATTTTGAGCTTGATTTATTTAAGGATACCTCAGCAAGAGCAACAATTTTGTCTGAGACAATTTGAAGTTCTTCCTGAGTAGAACATTGATTGAACATTGCTAAAAGCCTTGATTTTTCGGCAAGAAAATCAGCTTTTTTTTAATCAAATTCTTTTGAAGATAATTTTGGAGCGCTGAGATTCTCTATTCTTGAATCCACGAATTAACTGCTTTGAGACAACAATTTGTTTCATGGAATTTTGACCACCATTTAATCTTGAAACGTCTATCAATTCTTTTGACGTTATATTCTTTGAATTCTGGGGGATTCTAATTTTGAATTAAGTTAAAATCCCAACATAATATCCACGACACTTTGAAATTATGTGCAAATTGAAACAAAAGATTATTTTGAGACTTTAAAAATGATTTTATCTCTTTTATGAAGTGTTCGAAATCTTGACGAGTAAGACTTAGCAAAATTGTTTCGTCAAGTCCAAAATATTCGAACCAATTTTGAAACCATTTTGAAAAATTTGATGGACAATTTTGATGAAAAAGTATAAATCAAGAATGTGTTACCGGTCTAAAAAAGAAAACATTGAACCACGCCTCTTTGTAGTCCAAATAATTGAATTTTGAATCGAATTTTGAAATATTCATTCTTTTTTCTTCCCAATGGTGCAATCCCTAATTTTCGTAAGACCATACCCTTTGGATAAAGATTTTTGAAAAATCAATATATTTTGAATTTTTATTATTTGAAGTGTAAGTAATAATGGCTTATCAAGTTTTGATAAGGACGGGATTTTTTTATGTTTGTTGGAAGAAAATTGAAATTTGGAGGAAAGAAATCTTGAAGATGTTCTTCAAGAGAAGAATATCTTTGAGTCCAAGATGTTTTCATTTCGAAAATA